CCTTGTGGCTGGAATATTCCGATACGCCTCTGGCAAATCAAGCTGTCAAGGCATATCTGAAGGATGTACCGAGCGGGAAGTTTGCCTTGCTGATGAACCAGCTATCCTCACGACTACAAGCCGAAGAGAACGACTTTCAACACCTGTTGATGGAGCTGGTCTTCCGCATATGCGTTGACCACCCATACCATGGTAAGTCAATTCCCAGTACCACCCCCATCCAAGGGGAAAACCGCACACCCTGGAGCCTACATCGAGATGAAACCATGCAAATCAGGGGCTCAACGTCAACGTCAACGTCGGCTCCAGGGTGTTCAGCTTTTCCCTCGTATTAAGTGGTATGGACTAATGTGAGATGTGTTACTGACTTCTTACACCAGGAATGCATCAGATCTTCGCGATTCAGATGAAGGTCGCCGCCACCTCTAGGGAAGATGTCGTTCGAGCCAAGGATGAATCTGCAAAGTCCCGCCAGAAAGCCGCGGGCGGCCTTGCGACGGCGCTCAGTACTGACAAGAGGGGTCGATCGTATTGGAGCTCGATTTTCCAGTCAAATGAGGTCTATCATCATCTTGCCATGTTCAAGGGCGAGAAAGAGAGTACTCAGCAAGGTCGTGAGTTACCCCTTGATAGGTACAAGGAGTCACGAGATCTGGTGAACAGGGTGCCGAAACTTAACGTACCCCCGGCTACTCTTCAGATTGAAGTTCGGCCGAACATGAACTACAGCGACTTGCCAAAGATCGCAGGCTTCAAGTCGACCATGACGATAGCGAACGGACTCAGTGCGCCAAAGGTCATCACTGCTAAGGGCACAGATGGCAAACCGTACAAGCAACTGTTCAAATCCGGAAACGACGACCTACGCCAAGATGCAATCATGGAGCAAGTGTTCGATCAAGTATCGCGACTACTGAAGAACCACACCGCAACGCGTATTCGCAATCTCGGCATCCGCACATACAAAGTTCTACCACTCTCAACACGTTCTGGCCTTATGGAGTTTGTGCAGAATACCATCCCTCTACATCTCTGGGTTATGCCAGCCCACGAAAAGTACTACCCAAGCGACTACAAGCCCGAGAAATGTCGCAAAGAGATCGGCGCATGCCAGCAGGACTCTCTCACCACGCGCGTCAAGGTATGGCAGAAGATTGCGGACAACTTCCACCCCGTGATGCGCTACTTCCTACTTGAGCGCTTCGAAGATCCTGACGAGTGGTTTGATCGTCGCCTGGCATACACGCGCTCAACAGCCGCCATCTCCATCCTTGGACACGTGCTTGGTCTCGGTGATCGGCACTGTCACAACATTCTCCTCGATGAGAAGTCAGGCGAGGTAGTACACATCGATCTCGGTGTGAGTTTCGAAGCTGGTCGCGTCTTGCCAGTACCAGAAGTCGTGCCATTCCGACTAACGCGCGATTTGGTGGACGGCATGGGATACACAAAGACGGAAGGTGTATTCCGCCGTTGCTGCGAGTTTACCATGGACACACTGCGTGAGGAACGAGAGTCCATCATGACCCTCCTCAATGTCCTGCGATACGATCCTCTAGTCAACTGGAGCGTCACACCCACCAAAGCGAAGCGCATGCAAGAAGCCAACCAAGAAACGGGTGCAAACGGTACCGCGCGCTCGACTACCGTTGCACCGGGAGGTACACCCGCGCCATCGGGTCAATCGGCGGCCGAGGAGGCAGCAGCGGTCGCGCAGGAAGATAACAAGAAGAGGGAGAAGGAGGAACAAGCCGGTGAGGCGGGCCGGGCGCTGAGTGTGGTAGAGAAGAAATTGAGCAAAACGCTTAGTACCAAGGCCACGGTGAATGAGCTCATACAGCAAGCTACGGATGAACGGAATTTGGCGGTGCTGTATATGGGGTGGGCGAGCTACGCATAGGCGAGGCGACTACATGGGCTCTGCGCACGAGTATTGTAGTTATCTTAAGGTCATGTAGTCGGCATGCATGACTTTTTATTAATATTTTTTGACTGTTCCACATTATATAAGAGAAGGCCTAAAGAAGTTTGCAGACTACATTGATATGAACACAAACAAAGGAGGTGACCTGACGTTGATGCAGGCTCCAGGGTGTTCAGCTTTTGCCTCCATCCATGAAGACGCCGAAACCGCACGCCTCCAAAATCGCTTCGTCGCGCATAGATTCCAACCCTGTATTCGTGTAGAGAATCACTGATTTGATGCTTTCCCTGCATGCAGACTACCCTGAAATGCGTTGATGCCGCGGAGCCAATTTTCTTGCTCTTTGCATCGTGCGGTTCACACGGAAAATTATCCGGAATCCGCATCCTCATGCCAACTACAACAGCCTAACGCAAGTGTAAATGAACAATCGTAGTGTCATGTAGTTTAGAAGATGACTTTCTCGATTGCTGTTAACTTATCAATGTATGCCGCATACTGCAAACAAGTGATCGAGAGGAAAGGCTGCAACGAGGCTGCACCTCCCAAACAGGCACATTTTGAGAGGGCGTGGATTACGGAGGCATACCCCGATTGCCCCGGCTGCGTCGACTGGCCCGCGGATGGCGTCTTGCCTGCGTCTGATCGATGAGCATTCGCTAGATGCAGCGTGGAAGAATATAGTATTTTTCGATGGTCGTGTTGTCAGGCAGATGTTGCGCACGTCGAGCGAATCTCGAATCCGTGACAGCACGTAATGAATCCTTACGCAAAGAGGCTCGCGACTGTTCCCATATTCCGGCCTACACAACTGCAGAACATCATACAGCCCGCCCAGCGACGCTTCCCAAACAAGCTGTTCGAAGGAAGGGTATCGATCGCAGCCAAGCCATGCTCACAGCGACACTTCGCTGTCGCAGGGATGAAGATCTCAGCCCCCTGCAGACAGACCCAGTCGTAGACGTAATGACTCCCAACTGGGTAACTTTGCTTGAGGTGTTGATCGCGGTGGGAGGCCATATCGACGTTCAAAGATCTATTGGAGTAATGCTGATTGGCTAGATTTGCTGCTGGAGCGCAGTACGTCAGTGATCTGCGAGTAGTGTCCAGCTAAAACGAGTCGGGAAAAGTCTGGTTTTCGTGCGTCATGCACGGCGCACAGCAGATGGACATGTGATGCTGTCTCGTTCAAGTAAGTTTTGAGAACGTGTCGATGGCGGCATACTGTTCACGATAGTTCTGTGAGGTTCTGTTTATCCATGGTTATACAAGGCTCGCAAGTTGCTCACGATCCAAGATGGCTCCGACAGCGCAATTGTGCTATGAGTCCAGAGCCCGCAAAGAACGTCCCTTTAATGAACAGGACCACGTATCGTTTCCATGAAGGCAGATTCTGGGGTTGTGGCACACAGATTGTTCGCGCAGTTCGACGAAGCCTTGAATATAGAGCCGCTCAATTGGTGGAACACATGGCAGATTCCAGTTCAAGCAGCTTCGCAGGAAGACTATGGTTTGTGGCGTAGTTCGCTAGCGTCAGGTCGTCCCTGCTTGTTACAGGAACTTTGGATTTGCTGTTGATTGCTGCTGACCCCGGGATTTCGTACTTTGTTCACAAGCGGGTTGGATTGTGGGCGATTTTTCCTGATGTCCCTCGTGCTGTTCAGTTTGAAAAAGCGTTGTAATTGACAATACAGGTCAACGTGTTCTCGTTGTTTAAGTCTACATTCTCGAGGAAGCTGCATTTGAATCGTCCCCAGAACAGTTTCGGTGGTGTGGCCGATTGCAACTGAGGACGAACACAGTGATCCATGGATGTTCCAGGGTGGCTGCTACCCTCCGAACAGAAGCACCAATCGCTAAAGTCAATGACGAGGACTATCCACCATCCTTCCACTTCAGGCAGGTTTCCAACAGCTGTAGATTGCGGCCAAGCCTGCGTTCGCGAAAGATTGCTTTCAGATGCCATTTGATTTGATTGGCCCTCCACAAGCCTCAAGTCCGGGACAAGCAGGTTTGATGCTCACCGTCGAATGCGGCAGCAGCTTCAGCGATTTTTCGCTTTCACGGGAAAACCTATGTGATTGGCTTGCCACAAGCGTGACGTCCCAGAGAGGCAACTTTGCGTCTGCCATCGAATATACCATCGAAGGCACAGCGATTTCTCGCTTTCGTTGACAGCATTCGATAGCACACTGCCTAGCGTCATGTCCCAAAGAGGCAGCTTCCAATCGACCGCTGAACGCCCGAGCGATTCTTCGCTTTGAGAAGATGAGCGGCCTGATTGGCCCCATGATATCATGTCCGAGACGGGCAAGTTTGGGATAGCCGTCGAAGGCACAGCGATTCTTTGCTATGAAAGAATTGCCCATCTGATTGGCTGGTCGACCGTAGGCGTCAGGTCCAAGAGAGGCAAGTTTACAACTGCTGTCGAAACCACAGCGACTCTTTGCTTTCGCTGTGCCTTAGCGTCAGTCAGTACTCCTCTTCTAGGCAGGTTTGGAAACAGGTGTCGATTGCGGCCAGAAGCCATCGCGAAACGTCGCTGTGCCTGCTTTCGCCTGGCACGGGCAGATCGAGCTCCAGCAACACTATACTGGTAGCAAGGTATCGCGAACTATGCATTTGGTTTTTTGGTTCTTGTAGATATGTGACTTGATTCCCCGTCGTGCCATGTAGTAGTCAACTTAGTAATTGTCTGCATCGTGAGACTTTTGTGATGGGATCGGGTGCGGCCGTCCAGCCCGAGTGTCACTTATGAACGCAGCCAAACAGAGCGGACAGAATAACGATTACCTGGAGTGGTAACTTCGAGATGTTGCCGTTGATTACAGTCATGCATCGATACGGCGTTGTCCTGCTTCGCTTCCGAAATCTGCTGTGCCCCTCACCCGCGGATCCCGCAGCCCCACAGCACAAAGAATTTTTTGGCATGCTACTAGCCGACAACCTCCCGGTACCATCAAACGCAGGAAGCTACAAGCAGGCTTTCGCGTATGCTCTGCATAGCATACGGCTGCAATAATTGCGGATATGTATTAAATAATTTTAAAACTCTCCATCAACAACCAGTACAACTGGCCTAATGGCCCAATGGCAAGGCGCTTGACTACGATCACATCGAAATCAAGAGATTCCAGGTTCGACCCCTGGTTAGGTCATAGAGAAAAGTTCTTTTTGCTTGATGGCATGAGATAGAGAGGTTGTGAGATGCGTGGCATTGTCAAAATGAGAATTGAGATCATGCCGCATTTTTTTGAACCTCCGAAGCACCTGGCAATCCTAAAGAAACCAACGAGATGCAGTAGAGGAACTCGATAGCCTCTGTGTTACTGCAGTCCTGTCGCTCAATGTACACAAAGTATGCCAACAAATAAAAGTTTGTGATATATACTTTGAGATTTTACGCTGCGAACCTCTATGATGCATACTTCATTAGTCAAGAGACAGGTGCGATCCCGCAAACAGAAGGGAAATGTGCTGCACTAAGTTCACCTTACGAACCGTGTCTTTCGATGTCAGGGCAGAGGTATTACATCTTCACCCAAGGTAGCCACAGAGTCTGAAATTATCAAAGATGACGCCGAGTAAGCCGGATACATATTGGTGCAAGACTCGACGACTAGAGCGGCAAATGTGAGGAAGAAATCCGGAGCGAAGAGTGCAACGACCGACCACGTATCCCCAAAGATCAACAGTGACCGTGATTTAGCTAAATCTTCTAAGTAGACCCAGTGTACGCATGTTTAAATTCCCTTGCCGATACTCGGATTTGTACAAGATAGCTTCTAGGCCGGCCTAGACGATACTTATCTCTATGTACTACAACGCCGTTTAACGAGTTGCCCTCCAACTATATAGTACGCCCAGATGTACATACCACTTTAACTGTGTGATGGTCAGAACCGGCGAGAACCTGCCGGGCACCGCATAGCCACAGTATCTCTTGCATAAAACAACCTTGTTGGAGTCTCGGTATCCAGAGATGTATAATCGACAGGTATCCCGCAGCATGTGAACGGCAAAATTGATACTTAGGTAAAATGCAATCTGCTTCTTGACAAAGAGCACGCTCTACTGATACACGAGTAGTTTGTTTCAATTATTCATTCTCGACTATCTACCTGTGATAGCACGTGCAGCGCCTTTAGTATATTCACTTATTTGCCGCTCGCTGTGCGTAGCCAACGTTCTCACTCGTTGAGTGCTACGAAAGCAACAATGTACCCAGGGAGAGACTAATGCTCTTCCACGGTACTGTGGGTAAGATGAAAGCGAGTCTATAAATGCGTTGAGCTCGACCGTACCCATTTCTTTTTTCGTTAAAATTCATCTCGTAGCCAACATATGAAGGTCGCGCACACAGCACACCTCACATGCACCAAATCTCTTGCACGCGTCGTATATTTGATGTTTTGAATTGTTTAGATATGTACCTGTTCTGTTGATATATATATATGCCTTGAAGCGAATGCTGTAGATATGCCGAATCAAATGTGACTGTGAAGTCTTGCAATCTAGATCGCGAACACGCGATAGGACACGATGCCATGCGATGCGGATATAACAATATGCTACGCGACGCTGAAAACGCACACACACAGACTCATTGACTTGTAAAAAAGAAAGGAGAGAAATTCTTGCGGTCAGCGCTTGACCGTCGTATGCTCCCATCGCGCAAACGCCGGTACCCATGCCCCATGCTTCGAAAAACCACGGAAAGAAAAGATCTGACGTGAGAAAAAAAGAAAATGGATAATCTGGCAAATGCCGCGAGGCTCCGCTAATATGCGCACGATAATATAGAGAAGAAAACGAACGGAAAGAAAAAAATCAGCTCATAGCCGCCTCGGAAATGTCTCGTAGGCCTTCGGGCAAGCCATTTGCTCGATACAAACATGTAACACGAATGTGCCGGGTCGTGTACCCCCCACTCTCGCGAGTCGAACCTGGCGGACGGGCGTCTATCGGCGAGACCCGGCATTGCGGATGCCGGGTGGGGACGGGACTTGCGAAAGTGGCATCGTGAGAAAAGTCCCCAGCTTTTGCGCAAGCGAGTTATCGTGACGGGGACAGGTCATTCACCGGACGGAAGGTGGAGTATGGGCGACCGTTGCGCAGCGGAAACAGGCGACGCCTGCGTGTATGCGATGTGTGACGTCTTGCTCCGCAACCGTGTGTCGTGTGAGTGTGGAAAGCAGGTCACGGGTCCCGATGAACCACCGAGACGTGCGTATCGCCGAGCGACCTCGCGCGGCCAACCTTCCCATGACTGACTTGACTCCTTGGTCGAGAAACTTGCTTTGACGATGTCTCGCGACAGAAATATCCACGACACGTGCGACCCCATGTCGCGAGTATCCGCAGCCAGATCCAACGGTACGGGCTGTGACGTTGTCCTATACCAAGACCAGGAATTCTGCTCGATTGGCGGCTCCACTAGAATCCGCGAGCGAGCGCGCGCTATGCCAAGGCAGGTGATGCGATCCTCGGAGACTCTGAATCCGGGATCGTCGAGCTTGACAGGGCTGCAGGGCGCGTCTGCCAATGACCAAGGATCGAATTCCTGCCTGCACATTTGCGATGCGCTACGTGGGTGGAGCTCGACACGACATGCTTGCATGCATGCATGCGACATTCTCTCGGTTCGTGTCGTGGTCGTGGTGAACGTGTCGAGGGTACCGTACCGAGTGCTGCGTGCATGCCCAACCCAGCTTGTTGACGCAACGAGACGGCCTGATGAAATTGCTAGCCGTAGCGCATTCACGCAGCGGTAACGGGAGTCCATCTAAGCGGCACACCGCTTGCGCCGTGAAGGGAAGGTGCTTTGCTAGACCCAGGCTTTCTTGGCGGCAACCAAATACGTGCCTTGCCGACGGCCTTTGTGTCGAGCTTGCCCACGCGGCGCATGTTCATTTCGAGCACAATGACACGTAGAAAGTCGCTATTCTCGCGTGGCTCGCGCTGCCGGACGGTAGGTGCGTCGGTTGACAGGACGCGTCCTGCTTCGGAAAAGGGATCCGTGGAGCGACTCCGGCGCGACTTTTGTGATCGCCCTCGGCGTTCGTATGTCTGCATTTGGATCATCGGCGCGTGGGGTTCGGCGTCGGCATCGAGGGTAAGAGAGTCGTGTAAATGCATTGACAACTCAGTCGGTGAGATTGGTGAGGGCTGTGGGTTGAGGTATCGTCGCAATTCGGGTGATGGCAGGCCTTCGACGTGTTTCGGTCGCATCTCGCTTGTGTAGTTGGGTGCCAGCAACGACCGAGTAAGAAAGTCATCCGGCGGAACGCTGGGAGCTGTGAAGTTGGAGAAGGACTTGGCGGCTGACTTGAGTGCTTGGAGTGATGCAGTCAGGTTTGACTTGAATGATCTAAACCGTTCGTTTGAAGGTACTGGGGTGACAGTCTCGTTGATGTCTGTCGCAATAATGTCCTCGCATTCGTCCGGGCCAAAATGGAGCAGGGGATGGTCCAAGACACAGTCCTCCTTTGGTGGTGAGGAGACAATCTTCTCCCTGCGCTCTGGCAATGACTTTCTGCCCAGGGAATCTGGTGTACTGAGATTGTCCCAATGCGACGCGAACGAGGGGTCTTCGTAGTCCAGGGAAGGCGGTAGGGTGGATATTGAGTCGCTCGAGATGGACCTAGATGTCAGGAAAGAGCCCTTCTCTTGCTCCATGCTCAAAACGCTGCTGTACTCATCGTCCGACTCGTCCACGCGACCAAGAAGCAGGTCCATGGGCGAGCCGACAAGTGAGGGCGGAGTGTCGGAATCGTCCTGCTTCCACTCCTGTATCAACTCGTCCATGGATATCCTCCGTTCGGTGGTAGTGCGTGGTCGTCGGCGGGTAGGCATCTTGGGGATAGCAGTAACGGCCAGCAAGGCTGCAACCGCCGGAGGTAGGGCTTTCGCATCGTGGCTCTGTGAATTGCGAGACGGTCTGCCTCCATTGTGTCCCCTCATTCTCACAGTTTGTGTTGAAGTTGCCGACTTGATAGGCGTTCGAGGAGGAATAACGACGGGCTGAGACATGGTTGTAGCCTCGGTATGTAGGAGGGACCCGTTCTTATTCATAGATTGCGTGTTGGTTCCCACAGTGACTGGCATGACACTTCTCGGAGAGGGACTGGATCGCGTTCGCGTGCCCATCTTTTCAGGCCTGGAGCGGGAGGTGCGTGAGGATGGCGGAGACGAGTGCTGGAGGTAGGGAAAGGACCTTGGCGAGTACATCATTATCGTCGGCTTGGGCCCTGAAGGCGTTTTCCCCGTGACTAACAGCTGGGACGATCCAGGTACGGCTGGTGCTGGCTAGGCTGGATGTGACGTGCGGCCGTCGGATTTCTTTACGTTATTGCTGGTTGGCGATTGGACGGGTCTGCAAGGGCAGGTCGCGGGCGACATGGGACTACAGGGTTTACGTGTGCCGAAGATCGCCGACGCACTGCTCTGCTTTCGCACACGAGGGTAGGCAAAGTCAAAAAATTTAAAAGGCGAGGATGCTATGAAGAAGTAAATACTATGGTGGTGGACTCGAGGCGGTTCTTCGGTGGTGATAAGGGAGGATGACGACGTTGGGGTCTCAGGGTTATCGGGCGGCGATAAGTAATAAGGGCAGCGTGGGAGGTCTCCTATCGAGACACCAAAAGCACACACCCAGCCCAGCTCGCATCCAGGCACGTTTCTCGGACCAGATACTGGCGGCTGAGGATAAGACTGCGTGGCCTTCTGCCAGCGCCACGCCTACTGCTGCGCTGATCACGCTTCACACGAGCATACCAGCTCTCAGCCCCGGTCGGTCCCGCATGCACAACACTCGAGCAGTCGTGATCGCCTTCGGGCATCCCCTGATTGGCCCTAGCCGCCACCTCCGCCTCCGTCAGCCCTGTCGCGTCCTCGCCCCACGCCGGCCGTCTTCTGGAAGCCATCCTGGTGGAAGCCATCCTTTGGGAGAACAGCACGTTGCGCGCCATCACATGAGACGTTGGGTCTCAAATCTATACAATCACCGGCTTAGCATTCACTCAAAATTCACACTAGCGCACCCCGTCATCATGACTCCCTTCACCCGCACCTCCCACCTGCTAGGCATCTACGATGACTGTAACGTGGCTTGCAGCTGGGAGTCAGTATGCACGCAGCGCTCCCCGCGGCAAGACGGTCGCATGCCTGCCTGCCTTCCGGTCACGGTTGGCTTGTGTGGAATCGCTCCGGGCCTGTCAGATGTGCTATCCTTATCTCTGTGCCAATATCTCGCTACCTGCCTCTAACTCCATCTAACCACTTCCACCATGTGTCGTGCAGCCCGGCGCCGTCTCGCACGCTAGGCCGCGGATTCCTGCGGGGTGCATGCCCGCTGCCCTCCACTGTCGAGCAAGAAAAGCATGGTGGATGTGGAGTGGAGAGAAAGTCTATTCCCACTCTGCCACTCTACACACTTCCCATACCGGCCCTTTTCTGGACACCAACTTCGTCATTGTCGTCATGTCGTGGCCTTGGAGAGTAGTTCACGGTAGGTAGAACGAAAGGCACGTGTCCTTGTGAGAATTTAGTTCGCGATTGAGGCTCCCCAACGGCCTTGCATAATAGAGCTCTGTCACGGTAACTGCACCTGCTGCTTCGAGCTTAAGGGATCTCTTGTGCGAAAGAGGAAGGAACGGAGTGACCTTCTATTGTGTACCCAAGCTTCCCGTGATCGTCTCTTGGCCCTCGGCACCGACCCGCCATTGTGCGCTTGCATTGTTTCATGTCAATCATTTTTACTCGCACAGGAAGGCACGAGTTGGTGTTGCTTGCCGCCTACGTGACCGCCTTTCGCTAATCTAGACATTGTATACATGATTGTGTATTCGTCTACGCATAGTATGTAATAAAGTTGATGATGTATTACTTCTTTGTAGGCGTCCAATGCATCACATATTTCGGCACCCTAGTGCATCAGTCACGGCATGGTCGCACAAGTTTTTGCAATGTTCTGGATTCTGTTCAATCGTAATAGTACACGTCTCCTCGCCAACACACAGGTCTGCCTTCCACTCACAGGACCGAGGCCTTATGCACCCTTCTCTCGCTTCATCCTCGCACAAGGGAAATTTGAACATGCAAACGCGCAAACGAGACACAAGCAAGGTAGCGCATGGCGCGCTATCCAGATATACGCTTCCGAGGTCGCCAACGCCGGAAGATCCACCACCCTACCGCTGAAAAAGAAGCAAGTGATGTGAAGAAATAAAAGAGCCACCTGGGCAGGTACATGCTGCGTTACCCAAAACAGGCGCCGCACCGGTCGCATTGCGGGAAGTGACATGCAGCGCACTACCCTGTCCAACGCAGAGTACGTGGCGAGTATCCCAGCCCGCTTATGCGTGCCGTTGCGGCAGCGAAGATGAGTCGACAAGAAGAGAAAATTTTCAGGGTCCAGTAACGCCGAGCCGCAAAGTATGCACACACGAACTAAGGAAGAGCAATTAATAGGGCTCGGTGAGCCGGAAAGTGATGAACGGCCGTGGCGGTATAAGCGTCGTGGAGCATGAAAGCCATGCAGTCGTGTCGACATGAGAAGAAAGTGTCCAAGTGGATAGGGTACTTTACTCAGTACCCGTCGCCGTCAGTCGTCCAGCCCGCTTCTGAGCCTTCGATAACGCGTACCATGCGGCCGTCCTGCTCGGTTAACAGTTCGCCCGTGTCGACGCTCCGTATACCGCGGACCTTCTTGCCTTGGATTCTACCCGGGCTGGCGACATGGCCACCCTCGGGTGTGTAGCGCTTCATCTGCCGCCGGTAGGCTTGGAAGTCGACTTCTTCCTCTGGTACCTCGTCGGACTGTTCACTAAACGTTTCCCAGTTCTCGGAGCCGGATTGCATGGTCATGCCTGTAGCGGCGGTGCCTGTGGATGAGGTTTGTGATATTTGCCGGCTGCTAGCGGATGATAGTGATGGCGGTGGGTAGGTGGGTGTGTAGCCTCCTCTCATGGTGCGTCCCATAAAGGAGCGGTCGTCGTATGGGTCCTCTGGTTGTACGTTGCGCACGATGCTTTCACTGCGGTCTCCACGGTTGAACTCGAAGCGGTTCATCGGGGTCTCCATTGGCGATGGCTCTGGAGGAACGAACAGATCCTTCATACGAGGGGGAGGAGCCATAGGTGGCGCCATCTTGCGCATCGTAGCCGAGTCTTCTCGTGAGAGTTGTGGTCGCTTCTCAGGCGAGCTCCTGCCGTTTGTTGTACCATTCAGTCCCGCACGAGAAGGAATCTTTGAAGGACTCTTTTGCGCAGATGCCGACACCGAAGCACCAAAGTTGGGACCAACCGATTGCGCGAAAGTGCTGCGGGACATGCTTGCTGCGGATACGCTCTGACCAAAGTTCGAGACGGGAGTCTTTGACCGGCTGGGTGGCGCACCACGAACTGTTCCGGCACGGCTAGGCGCTGCTGAGGCTCTGCCGACGGTGGCTGGCTTGGTAGGCATACCGCTGTTGGAGGGTGTCTTTGCGCGAGGTGGTGGGGCTGCCTTTTGCGCGGCTGCATATAGTTCGTCGAGGTATCGGTTGCCATGGACAAGGAAAGGACGTCCGTATTCGTCTTCCCAGCTCTCGAGGGTAACTCTCAGATCCTGTGATGTGTTAGCTCAGTTCAGGCTCCTTGACTGAGGTATCTTACTGTTTCAATCTTGGGCAGCTCCTTTGCGATGCGCTTTCGCATCTTCTCTTCGCGCAGGAGCTTGCCTGGGTCGCGCCTCTCGCCCTTGTTGCCGCGCGCCATCAGACGGGTCGCGTCCTGGCTCGATTGTGCAAGCTCATCGCGTTCCTGAATCAGCTCGCGGTGACGATCGATCTTTTGCAGTATAGGTAGCCGTTGCTCCTTGAGCGCTTCGAGACGTGCGATTTCGGATTCGTGGGCGGCAAGGAGAGCGTCGCTGCAGACGTCGGAGAAGGCGGGTGTGAAGTCGAGCATCTCTTCTTCGGAGAAGTAAAGGGCGTCCCATAGTTCCTGCAGTTGAACGCGCGCCTCCTCAACGAACAAATGTAGGTTCTGGCGCTTGAGCTCGTTCAATCTGGCCAGCTCATCCTCGTACTCGTTGATGGTGCGCAGGCCACATCCGCGGTTGCTGGTGAGGAATTGCTTGCGCTCGCGCTCCTCAATACCCAGGCGGTCCCACAGCTCCTCGATGGTTGTGCGCAGCTGCCCTAACCGTCGTTCGCGACCGCGCTTCTCCTCGACAAGTCGCTCCTTCTTCGCGTTCAACTGCGCGAGATCGTCCTTGTGCAGGCCGAGTTGTTCAGGCGCGTCGCGATGACATTGCACGATCGCGCTGTCCGTTTGCGCTTGTGGTGTACCGAGTTCCGCCCAAAGCTGGATGATCTCCTGGCACATGACCTGGACTGTGTTTAGGCGCTTTGTGTATTCCTCGTATACGCGTGTGAATTCGTTGTCGAGCTTGGTGACGTAGGAGGGCGAGATGTCGAAGGAGGGTGAGACTTTCGCGTTGGGCGCCGTGGGCGGGAGTTTGACCTGGACGAAGGACGATTCGAGATGCGACGCATACGATTCCAGGGCTTCGGCCAGTTTCCTGACCTGCTCGAAGCGCTCCTTGTGCATCTTGCTGACCGAGTTGTATCGCTCCTTCAGGCCCTGGAGGCAGCGCGTCAAGGGGAAGGTGATGGCCCGGTCGTCCTGGTCGTCGTAGTTGGGGTTGGGCTTGTTGTCATCGAGCGAAGCCTCCATCTGCCGGATAGTCTTGAGCAGGCGATGCGCCTCTTCTGTCATCTCATGTTTCTCGTTGGTGACCTGTCGCAATTGGTTGTGGAGCGTCTCGGACAGAGCAGAGAACAACTACACAAGTCAGCAGTCGCGCGCGCATTATACTTCGTCCTTCCTCACCTCTGCTTCACGCGTGTCGCGCTCATGGCTGGGGACGCCAATGTCGTCGAACAAGCCGTGCAGCTGGCCGATGATGGTGGTGACCTGCTGGGCGAGGTAGCTCGTGTCCATGGTGGCTGCAGACCCGCCAGCGAGATGCGAGGCTCAAACGCGCATGCAATGTGACCGCGTCCAGTGGGGCGGAGAAACTTTGCGCGAGCAATGGGATGCGGTGTGATGAGTCCTGACTCTGACGTGGTAGTGGATAGTAGTGGGGAAGCGAGATGCAGGCGGTCGCAAGAGGCCGAGCAGGAGGAGAAGGCGTAAAACGAGGGAATGGCTCAAACAGCACTCTTCTTGTATGCCAGGCCGGTGCAAGGAAGCAATGCTCGAGATGTGTATACACAAGACGCAAGTGATGCAATGCTGGGGATGGGCCGCAGATCAGAGTCAAGCGGGTGGTCATAGTGGTTTGCGCGACACTATTTTGGAACAATGCGCCAAGGATGGCGTTGGCACAGCGACGTCCCGGGCGCGTCCATGTAGCGCGCCATCACGAGAACGCCTCGTTTCACACGATCGCCCTCCGCCACTCAGACGCGCGGGGTAGGCGGTACAGCATGGATGGTGCTGGTAATCTGCATGTCAACATGACCGGTATTTGCTACATTCCCAGCTGGCTATACCCGTGCTATATGCTGACCTGGACTACTCGACACTTGTTGCCTCGTTGCCTGGCCGCCTGGTCGCTTTTAGACTTTGACAGGACACCACTACCCTGGAGAAACATGTCCAATGCTCGACGAATAACTATCCGGCTTACTGTACTGAGCCTGTGTCCAACATGCCATCGTGAAGGATTTCTGTTGGTGAAGGACGCTGGTCGTAGTGGGCCGATGGTTCCCTGTTTCTTATCCGCTGATAGTCCGGACCCAGAAAAGTATCCTGCACCAACCTCAGCTCTGCCGCTTCCCGGCAGCTGAGATTTCTTTTCCATACCCGTTGCTATGTCGACCTCATATAGGCGCGTGTAATAGTTCTCGCGCTCTAACGCAGTTCGTGTATGGGCCTTTCGCAACCTGCTTTGCGCTTTGCTGAAGCCGAGGAGAAGCAAACCTCTCGTGTTCACGGAGGCTGTTCCGTATCAAGATGGGATTACACCAGGGTAGTTGGACATGTGAGCCGCGTATCGTGGCACCGACCACAAACATACTATAGCGGTTCAATTGCTCATCTCAATACCGGAATCGTTGGACATTCAATGATCTTCATACATCTACTCTTCAATTACACCTAAAAGTAGCCGTCCACCTCCCACCCTTGACGTCCTTGACATCCACATCCCCCTGCCCAGCCATAACCTCAACAACAACATCTCCACTCAGCCCCTCCATTCCACTCATAACCACCCGTCCCGCACATTCCAGCACCGGTATCCTAACCTCTCCCACTGTCCCCTCCGGCGCCTCAAAGTCCAACATTATGCTATCATCCAATACCTGCGTCCTCGCGCCGAAGAAACCCAAACTCGTCCTGAAGCCTGCATCCGCAAACTTGAGATCACCGAGTGAAGGCGCAATGCGCCATGTTGCTCCGCCAGCGGTAAGTAATTGTACACCGGCTACGTATTGTGTGAGGCTGGATGTTGGTCCTGTTGCCCATCCGTGCGCGTGGCTGATGCGCGCGTCGTTGTTGTAGGGCGCGTAGTGAAGTTCGCCAGTCGTGCTGTATCCTTCGATGAAGGTTGAGTTTGTCATGCGGGGGTCGTCGAGCATGAAGCCCCATTGTAGACGCATCAACTCCAATGCTGCGGTAGTGTTCTGCGCGAGGAAATGGGATTGCAGTTCGAAACCGGAGATGAAAGGTGAGATGGCGTCTGCGGCTTCTGGGGCAGGAGCGCCGTACGGAGTCCATCGCGAGACCAAATTTTGTGAGATCATACTCGTTTGCGTGCTGTTCATCGTGAGGTTTGCGACGACGGCCCAGGCGTTTCCGTCTTGGGGCATGAGCGTTGTCGTTTCATTGTCGCGGTACATGCCCTCTTGTTCGTCCCAGAGGAGTTCGTTGGCGGCGGTCTTGATACCATCAGCAGTTTCTTGCCAGGAAGAGATGTTGGCTGTGTCGTTTAGAGCTGAGGCGAGGTAGATGCCCTGATTGATGGTGTAGTAGAGGATGGCGTTTGCCTCGATATTGTGGCCGCCCATGCCGAAACGGAGCCAGTCGTTGGGCGCAGTCACGTTCATGAGGCCGCTAGAGTCAATGTTGGAGAGGGAGAAGGAGAGGGCGAATTTATACTTGTCCCATAGAGATTTGAGGTAGTCCATGTCGCCCTGGAGAAGTGGTTAGCGAGCGTGAAGGATTCGATCGGGATTTCTTACAGTATAAAGGAAGTGATCAGCGACACCAATCAGAGTGTAAAGGTGGTACGTGAACGATATTGCCTGAGGAGGGAAAGGCCTTCCAGCATATGGGAGTAGACCATTCGACGCGTTCTGTACCGCGAAGAGCGAGTCCAATGCATTCTCAATGGAGATGACATCGTTCGTCGATACCACGACACCAGGAACTGCTATCGCCATGTCTACCAATGTCTGTCAGTATGCACTCAGTGATGGAAGATGTATCAACGTACCGCCAGCCCAAACAAGTCTATCCCTCTTTGCACCATCAACCAGCGCACTCTTACCACTAGTAATGGTATAGTTGTTGTACCAAGTAACGTTAACCGGCGACTGGTCGTCCTCACTCGAGAAGCCTTCTTCGCGCAGATGAACAAGCGCATTGCCGGTATCTGGCTCGATAGTACAGATCTGGTTCGTATACGCTCCGGCATACCATACGCGATTGAGCAGCTCATCTGCAATACGTTAGCCTTTCCACCTAAGCGACAAAGCAAGGAAAGAAAGAATGACATACCGTCGCAATGGAAATACCCCGTATAATTCCCCAACGCATCCTCCTCCCAATGCGGCATAGCAGTATAATGCACCTCCGCGCCCGTCACCTCGACACTCCCCGTACCATTATGCACCAACGTCATGTACCTAAACCCACCCCTCACCTTCTCCTTCGGGGCTGTGTACCGTCCCGTACCATTGACATGGAACCAGAGCGTCTCGTCTTTGCCCGCATCGGCCGTCGCATCGCTGCTCCGGTTGCTGACCCATAACGAACTTTCGGAGAAGGTGACGCCGATGTATTCGGAGGACGACGAGTTGACAGAGCCGATCGTTACGGTGACGAGACCCGCAATGTTGATACCGAAGTCGTACGCTGTTGCTGCTTCGCCGGTGAAGACGGAACTGCCATTTGCGCTGGTAAGACTCTCGGGGTGCGTGACAGACCCGTTTGTGCTGTGCACAGAGACGGGGTGGAGGGTTCGTGATTTGGGCGCGAGGATGTATTGCGAATAAGGTATCGATGCGAGCGCGACGGGTACGACAGCCGCGAGGCTGACTAGAGAGTTGGAAAACCTCATGTTTGCGTATATGGCGACCGGATCCAAAATGTCCAATCCTACAACCATTCAAGCTCTTGACGATCCAAGGCTTATGTACCTTTCCCTCCCGCTGCCTTCCGGCACCATAGCCAAAGCCATGGCCCCGTTTCGATTCCCACACTCATTTGCCGATTTCGAAGATCTGGAGGCTGTTCGGATGAGTACACACCGAGATGACGACGTCGAGCGACGAATTCCTTCGTTAGATCGCGGAGCCTGCACCTAGCCCCGGTACCCATCCTAGTCATTGCGGGGAAGCGAGTCGTTTTCGCAGCCACTGCGGGTCCCGAGGTCGGTCTTCTGCACATGGCTGACGCTAGTATGTTTTTGCCCCGAAGAAGTAGCGGCCCGGGGATTTGCCGGGTGTGCCTGCCTCCACGTCCCGATGTCTTGGAATGGGAGCTTGGAAAGGGAAGCTTGGAAATGGGAAAAGAGGAGGCTAGATGGCATGCTTCCAGGAAGTATTGTTGATGGATACAACCGGAGAAGAGCGGGTTAGCTTGCATCCAGAAGATGACTATGATGAATACGATGAGGGTGGAGTGGGATAGCAGGGTTTTAAAAATTGTTCGTGGTGCATACAATGTGGCGATTGGGCAGCAGTTAATGCAGTTTCTGATATACTACAGTCTACAACAAGATACAGGAAGAAAGGTTTTAGAGTTCATGGGCATCGTATCCTCCTACCCGTTTGATGATATCCACTTGTCTATACATTCAACTCAATGTAGCCTTCTACCTGTTTCATGACGCTCACCTGCTTATATACTCAGCTTAATGTAGCCTTCTAAGCTATCCGTATAAAGACATATTTCTTACAACACTTGCTGTGGCAAGCTGAGAAGAGGAGCCAGCCAAGAGTATTTCGCGCTTTATGCAGGACATATCAGCACCAATCCAGACTTATTACACGTGAACGATTACTATACACCAGCCCATATTCATATCCACCACTGCGCCATTCGTTTACATAACCCGACCACAGAATCAACCGCCTATCTCTTCCCCTGCGGCAGCATCCCCAACAACCTCTCCAACTCCATCGCCGTGCTCCCATCAGCCTTATCCCTAATCTCCTGCAACAGCTCCCTATCCTTGGCTTTAAACGCCTCTTCACCCGCCTTGACCATCAACCCACACTTGATCCACATATCGACCCTCTCCGGCACCGTAAGCGTCGTGCATTTGGGGATAAACACACTCGCCACTCTAGTGTTTCCCGCACCGAGAATCTCGTTGAAGAAGGGCTCCCAGCCGATCGGGCTCTTCTTCTGCTTTGCGGATTCTTCGAGCTCGGTCCAGTGCCGCGCTGCGACGAGGGCGCGGAGGCGGATGTATGTGTATGTCTTGTCGTTGATCTTGAACTCTGACTGCACTTTTTGGGCGCGCTTGTAGTGGCCTTGGCGGATGAGCTGGAAGATTGTCTCATTTGCTGAAAGGCCGATGTATGTTTGACCTGGTAGCGAGCCTGCGGGTGTTGGGTCTCTCGGTCCGTTGAGGTCTGTTTCGAACTGGTGTTGGAGACGCAGCAGTTTGGCAGCATCGTCTATAGCTTGGCGCTGGAAGACGGCCGCGCTGTCGCGTGAATCTTGGAGGTACTTTGACGCTAGTTTCAGCTTGTCTTGCTGGGCCGGATGGCTTTCCTGTGCGATTGCTTCGGATAGTAGGAGGTTTGAGCCGTCCAATCGCCTATCGTCTTGGTAATAGAGATCTTTCAGTAGCTCACGGTCTTGGTCCCAGGCTGACGACTCGACCAGAGCTGTGGCGACCGGACGGCTGTTTATGACGCGGAAGAAGGAGGCAAGAGGTAGCTTCTTGCGTAGATGTAGGAGAACGTGGAAGATGAGATCGGTATCGCCCGACTCAATCGCTTTGTCGAGCGCAATGTTGTCTTCCTTCATGTTGAGAAGCAGCGGCACTTGCTTGCCAGCCCTGGGTTCATAATTGAGGAGTTCGGTCGCCAGTCGCACGCGACCTTCGTCGTAGGCCGCCCGTGCGATCTCTTCGAATGAGACGCCAGGCTTACCATGCAGCTTCTTGACTATGAGACTGCAAATCTCCTCCTCTGGATCTGTCGACACGCGCACCTTCTGCTGCGCCCAGTGTCCATGGATCTGGTTTGCCGGAAGATGCAGATACTCGGCTATGCGCAATGCAAGAAGGTATTCGCTGCGGTTCGTGAGACGCTCAACGAGCTTCTCAGGCGTCATGCGGCGATACTGGTCGTAACTGAGCGGCAGCCCAACCTCATAGAAGCGCACAGCGTTCAGAACTCGTAGTGTGTCGCACGTGTCGACAAAGTCGTCAGACGAGTACAGGTCCAGCACTGACTTTCCGTACGAAGCCGCTTTCAGCAGCGACTTTTGCCAGTGAATGTTGTACTCATGCGCAGCGGCCTTGATGCATGTGTCCACCGCCTCTCCCAGACTCGGTCGTATCAGCTGTATGAGGTCGTCGGCCTTGGGGCTCTTCTGTTCCAGGAGCGAAGACGCTTCCAACAGATTTGCAGCAGGCGAGTCGGAGCCCAGCCTGAAGACATCCACCGCCTCATCCGGCACCTTTTGTATGAACTCGCAGACGTCGTTCGTGAGGAGCCGTATGCCATCTACATCTGGTAGGAGATGCACCCAGGTGTCGTAGTAGAACTTGGTCGCGGCACTTCGAGGGCCGATCAGGTGTACTTCGTCTTCCCAGGCCAACGCGACAGCATTCGAGCCGCACCATTCCATGTCTTTTGGCACTGTCTTGATCTTGCTGTCGTACTCGCTGAGCTTGTCGTTCCAGTCGCCGCTGACAACCCACACCTTTCCATCCTCTGTGTAGAAGGCCAGGAATTCCGCGCGCGGACTGACGCTGATGTGCCTGAACGGACCAGCATCGAAGTTGCGGTCTTCCGCCTCAGTCGCATCGACGACATACAGCGTAGATCCAATCGCTAGTATGACTTCCACCGATCGCGAGAGCGAGTAGGCAGGAGGTATGATGCTCCATGATATGACGGGTTCGGTCGGCGGTATAGCGAGGAGCTTGGGGCGCGGTTCGGCGTACGAGGTGACTGAGATGAGGTGGTTGTTCCCGAGAAGCGCTACAAAGCCCGTGTTGTAGAATTTGCAGGATAACACACCGTATTCGTCTGCGCCGTGGCCGAGGGTGAAGGGCACGAAGTCGCCTTGGAGGTCGTAGTAGCAGCGCACCGTTCCGTCCGAGGTGATGACCAGCAGCTTTTCGTCTTCCGACCATCCCAGGCCCTTGATTGTGCCTTTGTCCCACTATGGCCTGTCAGTAGTCCGTCCTTCATCTCCCGGCACATGTAGAGGGTTGCATACGTTGATGCTACGAATCAGCTTGCCCGCGCAGCTGTAGATGTCGATACTCGATTTGGACGCGCCGGGACCACGGTAGGTATGCAGCTTCTCTTCATCGCGGTAGACGGCTATAGAAGTCAGTCGCCTGGTCACATGTTCGCGCAGTCGTCGGCAGACGGTGGGACGTACCTACCTACAGCACCGCTATACGGCGCCCCCACCACATTGTAGTTCTCGAGCTCGAGATCCGCGTCGAAGACAGCCTGGTAGAGCTGCACCTTCCTGTAGAACTTGTCGCCGACCTTTTCCCAGTTGGCTGTTGGCTTGGACATGGTTGGGCGCGACTATCGGGGTATCATCGCGCGAACTTGTCGGAGGCTTGAGGTGCCTGCATGGAGCTTCGAGTTGAGGTCATAGCTCTGCCGCCGAGGCTGTCGCAACGCCTGCGAACAAATCCAACCAACACACGCTTCGTTTCCTACTTGTAGAGCTTCAAGCCTGGTGCAATGTACACTTCGGGTTTGTTGGAATGTAATGTTCGACTCACTCCAACTCTTCGCAAAACTCATCGAGACTCGTAGGATATCTTTCATTTCTTGGTAACTATATACTGGTATACTAATCTTGGGTACTGCCAAATCCAACTTGAAGAAAACGCCGTCGCTCATGCATTCGTAACCAATCTGTGCGCCTAGAAGTCCGATTTCCTCCCAACCAAGTCGCATCACCAACATCAGAACATATCTGCTCAATGACCTCCAATGAGCTCAGCCAGTGTCTCGCGGATACCGAAGCGATCGACATCGCTGCCGACCTTCTTGCGGAACATGCCCAAGTCCTGGAGGAAGGCCTCTGCCTCGTTGTGCAGCTCCTGCGCCAACTCATCGTGGTCACCCTCATCGTAGCCTGAGTCAGAGTCATCATCGCTGGCCTCGTCACCAGGAGCAGGGACAGATCCTTCTTTACCCTCGCCCTCGCCAAGCCACGATTCGTTCTCAAAGTCTGGCGTTCCAAGCTCCCGTGGCGGTGGCAGGACGATAGGGTTCTTAAGCTCTCCTAGAGCGAGCTGGAGATGGCGACGCAATGAGTCGATCTCTGCGCGTAGAGCTACGTTTGTGGGACGAAGCTCCTCAACTTCCGAGGTAAGTGCCTTGATCTTCGCCGCAGAGACTTGACGGTTCTCCTCCATGAGGCGCTGCATCAGTGCGACCTGCCTCTGGTACTCGTCCAGCTCGGTGGCTTCCTCCCTCTTGCGCTGGCTGGCGGCGTTGACACAGACTTGTAGACTGCGGATCTGTTCTGACATCTCTGCGATCTGGGCGTCTCGCTGTGCAGCCGACATGCAGTCCTGGTTGACCAAGGCACGTGTGCGGATGCGCTTTGCCTGGTCGGCGTAGCGTAGGGTGGAAAGAGTCTCATCATAGTCGGCCGGCGCAATGCAAGCAACCATGGCTGTCTTGCTGTTACCACCCAACGAGTCCTTTAACAGCCAGGTCAAGACCGAATCACGGTACGGCACAACCTCCCGTGGTCGTCGTCCCTTCGCACCGTGTCGTCTTGGGTCTGCCAGTGCAGCAATGACGCGACCAAGTGTAGTAAGAGACTTGTTGATTTGTCCTCCCTCCTTTAGGCGAGCTCCGGTGGCTTCGGTCGACTTGGCACGTTCGGAGCCAGCGAGATCGACGAGGCGCATGCGTGCTGTGCGTTCGATGGTCTCATCGGAGAGAAGGGAGTGGGTGATTTGCTTGAGGCGGATTGTGAAGACGGCGTGGGATCGTGACGAGGTGTCGTTCATCTTGGTGGAGGCAGTCGTTCGGCTCTATAATACTATTAGTATGTCGCTGAATGATTATGTAGAGATGCGCCTACCATGTCGCCAATCTTCATCAAGCGCGCAACATCAGCGTAGCTCTTGACTTCAGCCTCCGTCAGGCCCTGCACATATACACCATCCTTCTGGCTCTCGCGAATCTTGAGATAGATAGGCGGGGTCGTCCTCGGGGTGAGCAGATCCCGCACGTGCTCGTTGTAGACTTCGAAGTAAGAGACTTGGACATGGTAGTTGGTGTTGGGCGACGGTTCGTGTGCGATGCGATCGAACAGCTCCTCGCAAGTTCGCGGGATTAAGCCTGGGTTGTCTGGTGTGCCCATCATGGTGTAACTCTTTCCCGACCCCGTTTGACCATATGCGAAAATACATGTGTGGTATCCTCCGAAGTTGTGGTCGAGGAACTCCTCACCAAAAGAGCGGTAGACGTCTTCTTGGTGGGCGTAGTGCGGGTCGGACTCGTCGTGCGACCAGTATGAGCGATCGAATGTGAATTCCTTGTCGTCTAGAACACGGCGTCCGCTGTTCCCGCTCTCTTCTGGCGCATAGAGTGTTGTCTTTTGCGTCGCTGGGTCCATGCGAATCAGGCATTTCGTACCCTTCTCTTTCTCTATAGCATTTATTAGTGTCTATACGTATCAATTGGTACTGATGTCCTACCTCTCGGCACAAAGGCCCTACATCGCACCACCACCTTGACATTGCCGGGATCGTCGTTCATGGGCGCGGGTGATGAGAGCGCCTGAAGATACGATGCGTCGGATGCGCGCATGGAAGGCGCAGAGGCGGTCGTGTGTAGGGGATACATTCTGTAGTCCAAGATACCGTCTAGTATGAGGTAGCAAGAGTCCAAGAGCTGTTGCGACCGGTGAATGTACAGCAGGTGCATAGGCGGTGTTGAGGTGGAGCACGGATCGCTCTGCCCATGACTCGTGGGCCATTGTTTGGGCCGTGTCAACACGCGGTTGCCGTGTGCGATCGATAACACGTCACTGCCAAGCTCCCCACTGCCGCGCGCGCCATCACAGCGCGACGCGACCAGACCAAAGGGGATGTCTGATAGCTTCCGAGATCTGCTAGGGAGATACTGTGTGGTGGGATCAGCTTGGATCTGTCTCCAGGTACACACTGACGAGTACCCACAGCAGCCCTCGTCTCCCAACACGACGCGACAGGACGACCTGGCCAAAAGCAAGAGCTAGCTGACCTGTCCACGGCATCAATAGACGGTGAAGCTGTCTAGACGCATGCAGTGCTGCTCTGGCATGAGCAACCGGTGAAGGATCAAGGACTCTCAGTCGGATACCTTGCAGTCACCAATGACGGCTTTCGTCCCAGCGCCTTCCACTCAACATGCTTCAATTCAAGTCGCGTTCTCTCGTCGACACGAGACATTAATCTATTGCCCATCGTAATCTTATACGGCTTCTTGTTCGTTTCGTTACGTTGTTGGACTGATGTTGTCAGTATCGCAGTTTCGGCCGGCGGTGCATCGCAGTAGCGACTAAATTTTCCATCTGAGGCGGGCGCAAAATGTGACTGGTGTCGACCCTGCGACGTGAACTCTAACCATGCAATTAGCAGAACTCCACTCAACCTAATGATTACTCGCATGCGACTTGCTTACCTTTATTCATTCAATGAGAACAGGCATCCAGCGGTCAAATTCAAGACCAGGATACCTACAACGACCTATCCACACCTCGCTTGAGGAGCGCACTACCAGGGAGGTCTATCACGCCCGCGCAAGACTCACTCGCCGTCACCAGACATGGCTACCGCTGCAGTACTAAGTCTCTTGGACGAACATACCCGACAGGTAGCTTTTGACAGCAGCCTGGCGAAAGTAAAAGCTGCACCTGGAATCGACGTCGGCGCACTCGATATCTGCGTGCGACTCTTGCCCAGCCAAATCGCCAATGGAGAGATTGGAAGTACGCCGCAGCATGAAGAACTATGGAATACCGTGTTGGGTCGTCTAGCCGATCAAAGGTCACCGGAGAGCCTCTACGAGATTGCTGAGATATGCTACACCCACGGCTCGCATGCCGCATCTCTTCTCAACACCAAGCTCAACCAAAGCCTTTCTACCTTAGCCACGAATCTATCTTCTGGACAAGAAAATGTGGAAAGCATCGAAACTGCAAGAGCCTATCTCGAATTCCTGAAATGCTCCTTTTGGGTACCAGCCGCGTCTTCGTACATGGTCGACTCGCAATCTCTCACTCTCCTTTCGAGCTTCGTCGGCATCGAAGGGATAGATGATATTGCACATGATACGCTCTCCGCTTTCTTTTCATTACTGAAAAGCAAGAGAGAGAGCTCACCCACCAATCTCGATGCAGTCGTTGATCAATCAATATGGAACCGACTCAATGCACTCGACATTGCAAGATTTGCTGCTCGGTCTAGCAAGATATACAGGACCTGGTTCCAATGGATATCGCTCGCCGCTTCCGCTGGGATCAAATTCACATGTGTGAGCAACGAAGAATACTGGAGAAAGCTTAGACTTGGTCTTGTGAAAGGCCATGCAGATCAACGCAAGTACTGCCTCGGTATCATCCGCCAGTCTTTTCTCGCTACTTCTGACCACATCGATACACCTACGATGCGATACGATGCCAGTGGCAAAGACCGGGAGCAGTACGATCTATATACGACCCTATTCGAGACCATCGTGCTTCATCGGTATTCTGGCCAGGTCGAGGACTGCCTGAAATCCATGACGACGCTTCTTGGCTCTTCTTCAGCAACCAGTCCTTCCAGAATTACTCCCGCGATGACGACAACTCTACTCACCGCAGCCCTGAACCCGCTGATACAGGAGAGCGTTAGGAAGATGATCGGCCGCTGGTATATGGACTTTGTTATTGAAGTAAGTCACATATCTTCCATCCTCATAGACGATATCGTTGTTATCGTTATTGTACTATCTACGCAACAAGATACTGGTTGAGGGCGAAAGTCATGGTCTACTAGACGCTGAGTATACCGATGCTAACTTTGACATGGCAGCGCCGGAGTGACTTGAGCGGCCACATAAACTTCCTATTCGAGGGATTTCTGCCTTGGGCAACGGATGGTAGTCTCTTCACATCGACTCTTACTGCCACACGATCATCGACAACGTGCGCTCACGGAAACGCACTCGCTGCAGTCGTCTCTCGCTTTGTATCCGATACAGAAGAAAGCCCATTATTTATCCCTTCGGTCAATTTTGCCGTCTCCGAAGTTGGAGTGGACAACCGAAATGGCCGTGCAATCGTGCTTGGTATCGTTCGTTACGTTCTGAACGCCGGTGGGAGGATGTTCCAACCAGCAATACTGTACCTGATGCATGGCCTCGTTAAAGGCCTGGAGACGCGATACGCGCGAGGTCCACCGCATCACAAGCTGGAGATGTCGGAGATTACCGAGATCCTCAGCTTGTCACGCTTGCCTGGGTTGCCTGAGGTAGCAAGCGACTTACACAGCGTTCACTGTCGAAGGCTCTGCGATCTTCTTGATCCTGATCTACAGTCGAAAGGCGTACCAACTAGCGAAGTCCTGCGAGCCAAATGCCAAAAACTGGAAGATCCAGTGGATCATTCTGCGCTTCAATCGACTTTTGGCACCAGAGATGGCGGGCTACCCACTCTTCGGTCTTTCATCAACGACCTCCGCGAATCGAAACATAGATGCATACAAGGCTCATCCTTCGCGCCCGCTTGCAAGAGCGTGATAGAGCTCCTAGATCGTACTGAACCAGCCGATATCGACCCTGACGACTTGCACACCGTGTTGGCAGCGTTGTGGGAAGAGGCTGAGATTCGCGACTTCATCAGACCATTTGCTATGCAACTACCTTCCCTACTATTCCATCCGAAATGCATATATGTCAGTGTTGAGGAGGGTTTGAATCACTTTCCTAATTGGTGCGACATTAATACTCTGCTCTCGGTAGCCATGAAACGACTTATGAAGCTATCCAAGGGACGGTCCTACATTCTTGCAGTACTTGCTCGATCGCTACGCAAAGCTGTGTTTGCACACCCATATGCAATCAAATCATCGCGGGGAGGCCTCCCCTTCGATGACTACATTCTCGATTTCATCAACAATCCAGCATCCATCGGAACGGAGTTTTTGTTTGAGGTTGTCGCTGCCGACAAGCTTCAGCAATACCTGCCGCATCGAACATATGCATCGTACTACGGTATGCGAGAATGGCATGCATACTCAGCTGTCATAGATATCCTACATCGTATACCGAATGACCCATATGTCTCATCTCCAGAGACTGCTCGGAATATACTGGATGAGTTGGAACTTCCCTGGGGGTATCAGAAACCACCAGTCGCAGTCAAATGTCCATGGAAGAACACTTTTCAACTGCAGGCAATGCTAGTGATGAGTCACTACTGTGCGGATGACATAAATGTGGAGAGTCATCTCGACTATTTCACTCGTGCCTTAGTGGTAGAATCATGGCCACGATACCGCTACCTGCTCGAATGGGCCATAGCTCGCATTTATCGTCGGTTCCCGGAATTTACTCAGCGCATCTTGATAGAGCTAGGAAATCTGGAAGAGTATAGCCCGATTCATATCGCCAGTCTGATGAAAATTGGTCTTCTAGTCGCGCCATACGAAACCCAAGACTTTGCAGTAGAGTTCATCACACACCTGAACTCCTACTCTGCCAGCCCCAAAGTGCAGATCCGCCACGAAGCAAACTTTGCTTTTCCCATCGTGTTTGACATAGCTGTTGAGAAGGGCTGGGGGAGGATTACCGGGAATCCCGCTTTCAAAGGCATGAACGCTTTCATCCGCCGGCTGGACAAGTTCAACGCTTCTCCCTGGACAATAAGAACTCTGAAGGTCGATATCGAACAGGACTTTACCCTTACAGGCATCTTTCAAGGCCGATACCTGTCGATCGAGACACCGGAACCAGAGCTCGTCACGCATGAAGACTTCGAGGCTCTCGAGCGTGATGATCAGTCTGATGGTTTCAACCCACCACCTGCACGCATAGCACTTGGGAACAAGATCAAACCCAGCTTTGACGTCGTTGTACCAGCTAAAACTACCTCGGTACCCACCACCACAGAGCCGACCGGCCAAATCACCCTCCAAACCAAAGCCGGTATTGACCTCGACAACCTTCACCCACCCGGCGGTCCACCCAGCATGCAAAATGCCCGTCCCGCATCCGTCATGCTCGTTGCCTCTCTCATCGACAATCCCACCAACCTCGGTGGTCTCTCCCGCATATCCGAATCTTTCGGTCTCGAAGCCCTTTACATCGACGATCTCAAGAAGGTCGCGCACAAGGATTTTAAGGCTACCAGTGTAAGATCAGAGAAACATCTTGCTATCAATGAGTTGAAGGAAGTTGGCGTACCGGCGTTCTTACTCGATGCCAAGAGTAAAGGGTATGAGGTTGTGGGCATTGAGCAGACGGATCGCAGCGGCATATTGGGGAGTGAGGATGGCAAGAATGATGTTGTGGATGAAGGGACGATTAAGAAGGAGGCCAGAAGCCAAGACATCGGCACTTTGCCGAAGAAGTGCTGTCTTGTGCTAGGTAGTGAGAAGGAAGGTATTTCCGCGGAGGTGCTGGCTGTCATCGATCGCAACGTCGAGATCAAGACTGTGGGAGTTACCAGGAGTTTGAGTAAGTTTCAATTCAACTGTCCACATCAAGAACAACGCACTAACTTTGTCAAAAGACGTTCAAACCGCAGGTGGCATCGCACTCTACGAGTGGTGGAGAGAATGGGGCAACAGCAAGGCCTAAGCCATAACAGAACATATCATCATTGCTTACTCAACAATAACTCATTCATTGCTTCAACAGCACACTTCCACCACCCTACTCAAAAACCCTCTTCCAAACCCACAAACTCCTACTATTCGTATAATGTCTCAACCCCTCCATCCCCCACTCCATTCCCACGCCACTCTCCTTATGCCCCCCAAACGGCACTCTGGGATCAACATCAAAATGCGAATTCACCCACACACTCCCCGCTTCTAATCTCCGTGCCATGGCCTCCGCGCGCGTGATGTCTTTACTCCACACCGATGCGCCCAGCCCCGTTCTGAGCGCGTTGGCCCGATCGATGACGTCGTCTTCGTTGCTCCATTTGAGGAGTGGGACGATGGGACCGAAGGGCTCTTCTTGAACGATGCGTGAGTCTTCGGGTGGGTTGTCGATGATGGTAGGGGTGATGTAGTAGCCGGTTTGGGGGGTTGGGGTTATGGTGCCGGCGAGGGCGGGGGTCCAGTTTTGGAGGGGGATTTGGGCGTACATGTTTTGCACTTTGTCGAATCTGGGCAGCGTGTCAGTACAGCGGGTGATTGAAGAGGAGAGATATGTACTTACTGCATCTTATTTTGCAACGGCCCTACCACAACGCCTTCTTCCGTTCCGGCACCAGTCTTGATATTGCTGTTCGTAAACTCGACCATCTTATCCCGGAACCTGTCGTAGATACTCTCGTGAATGTAAATACGCTTCGTCAACATGCATATCTGGCCCGAATTGAGAAAACTCAACGTCGCGATCTTGGGTAGGCATTTATCGATATCCACGTCTTCACACACAATCGCTGCGTCGTTACCACCTAGCTCCAGCACATACCGCTTCAGCGTCTTCGCACAGGATGCTGCGACCAGCTTGCCTGTTGCTATTGAGCCTGTAAACGAGATCTTGTCGATACCAGGATGTTCTGTTATCCAAGGGCCGAGTTGGTCGTCTCCGCTGAGTACCTGTACGACGCCGGGAGGAAACACAGTCATGGCCAGCTCGCCAAGCTTGAGGTCGCAGTATGGTGTGTACGGCGATGGCTTCATGATGAACGTGTTTCCTGTAATCAGTGCTGGACCCAGTTTGCCTAGACCCAGCAGAATCGGCCAGTTCCAGGGCACGATGCCGGCGCATACGCCGATGGGTGGGTGGGTTGAGTAGATGGTCTTCTCGTCGTCTTCTTGCAGGATCTCGTCTTTGATCTCCATAGTCGCGAAGGCGCGTAACCATGTTAGGCCGCAGTCCATCTCGGTTCTAGAAAGAGACAGTGGTTTGCCTTGCTCCGAGGTGAGGAGCTGCTCCAGCTCATCGCGGTTGTGTTCTATCGTGTCGGCGTACTTGAGGAGTAGATTTGCTCGCTCGGAGAAGGGTGTATAGCTCCATGTCTTGAACACTTTGCGTGCTGCGTCGACGGCGACATCGAGATCTTCTTTTCTGGCTACTGGCACTTCGTAGAGGGGTTGGCCATTGGCTGGGTTGATGGAATGCCGCGTCTCAGGAGTTGGGACGAGCTGGTTGTTGATGACATTGCCTAGGTAGGTCTCTGTGTCGAGTTTGGAAGCCATCTGGATCCGTTCGTGCTTGAAGACCTTTCAGGACTCGGATCGACTTGCAGACAAGAATGCGCACCGCAACGGCATAGTTATACGCATATCTAGATGCGGCCAAGTTCTGATGGCTGCGGTTGAAGTGGGGTTGACATCGTACAGACGCGGGGTAAGCACCACACTACGCGCTGTCATCGTTCGCATATGCTCGGTGACTATCTGATTCGTAGAGTATATATTGTCTTTGCTTGGTGTTGGGCCATCGCGGTTCCTAGGGATTGATGACGCAGTGGGTCAGCGGCGCACGGATGCCAACATCACGACGCGGGGATGCGACGCGTCTTCGATCACGCTCCAACCACCTCATCCACTCCATCACCAAGCCATCCTGCGGCACCACCCGTCTCTACGCTGGGCAACACGCAAGGAGATGCCAGGCTCGACTTCACCGCCATGAAGATCTCGTGCGAGCCAGATGTCGGCTGAGGCATGCTTTCCCCGCCAAGCGTCATGAAACGGCTATCAAACTCATCCTCTTCCACACGACTCGACAAGACCCCTACTTCGTTCTACGATCGCCCAGCTGAGCCCAGCCGTCACTCGTTCTCTAGGGCCTGTCCGTTTCAATTAAGCTCATTGTCACCCCGCTTAAGCCTCTTCGAACAGGGCACAGAAGCTCGTACAAGCATTCAACCGCCGCAAGGTCGAACGCCAAGATGCATCTGTCACGATTGCTGAAACTGAGCTCCCCGTATTACCCGGGCTGGAAAGTAGAGATATAATGGCGATGAAGTCCGCAGTAAGGCGACAATGAATGGAACCTGACTATCTACTCAAAATGCCTTTCATGCACTCAAAAGGTGCTACTACCCTTGGACACACGTTCCGGTAAGTACCGTCATTACATTCAGATCCACCAGGCTGAACGGCTAACCAGAGGCAGAAACTTTGATCAGACGATCATCACAGTCAAAGTCGGCGGAAAAGACTACGCCGAGTCTTTCAGCTGCCACCGCGAACTCCTCCGACGATGCTCCCCATACTTCAACACATGCTTAGAGGAGAAGAGTAATTCGCCCTACGAGAAGTCGGGAACTACGCTAGACCTCGACGACACAACCCCTGATGTGTTTGACGCGTTCATGCTATGGTTATACACAGGCTTCATACCACACCATCTCATCGAGGGAGGGAAGGAGGTCCACCCTCCGACTCATGCAGTCAGTGTCAATGGCGGCGATAGCTCGAGTACCAACGGTCAGGAGGAGGGCGATGATGTGGATACTGCCTCCTGGGGCATTGCTTTAGAGACCGACGATGCGGAAGCGGACGCCCCGCCGGCCAACGCTGCCGCTGCAAGCAGCCCTGCACCCAGTGCGGAGAAAGTCCCTGGCGATGCTGAGCCCGAAAAGGCTGCCGTAGTACCGCCCCCACGAAACCCAGCTGAGAAGCCCGAGATACCCAAAGAGACGCTGTGCCCATGCTGCTCAAGACCATACAAGTGGAGAGGGCTGGAAGGCTTCTTAGAGCGCCGGTTCATATCACTCTACGTCTTCGCACACCGCTACGCCATTCCGAAGCTACGTCGCGCCGTCATCCTCGCATGGCAAACGAACGACGAGATCCTGCAAGTCATGCCCGACCACAGCAACGTCATCGCTGCCTACGAGAGCCTCCCACCAGATGCACCGCTGTGCCGATACTTCCTCGATATGTACTCCGTGTACTGGAACCCCGACCGCGACGACGAGCGCACGATAGCTTTACGCAGCCAGCTTCCGCAAGCATTCCTGTTCGAGCTGGTAACAATGTTGGCGAGGGGAGAGAGACCGAAGATGGAGAAGGAATGGTGCGAGTTCCATGAGCATGAGAGTGAGGAAGAAAAGAAGGCTTGCTTGGATGACTTGGCCAAGGATCCTGTTGCGAGCAAAGCACTCCGGCGGATCAAGGATAGTAAGGGCTGGAAGGGGCTGGTGCTCAAGAAGGGAAAGAGATGAGTCAATGACAACCAATTGCACACGCATCATGGCATGGCGTTTCGGAGTCGCATAGCATTAGCATATCCCGGTTACACAATTAGCAACACTTATTCTCATCGCATTCACACTTCCGATTTGGCGAACAGTATTCACATGTGCCTCCTCCTAAGCCGCTAACACTCGTGTTCTCCGCTTCATCAGCAAGCTGAGGAATGCGGGGAAGCAACACGAGATCTCCTGATCGCATGAGAACTTATCACAAGATGTTCAACTCAGCCATCTTTGCTATGTTTAGTCTGTGGCATTCTTCTAGCGGTCGCCTTCTGGCCGCGCAGGATGATGCAGCCAAAGCCATGGAGTCGCTGCTTCCACTCTCGCGTATGGGCTTGTTACTTGGCATCTACAGATGTCTCGCGGTACGAAACCAAGAGGTCTTATAAGACTATGGTGGCTCACAGTTACGTGTAAATACCATGTTAGCCGAGAAGACATCGTATTGGTTCGGTCATGAGCGTCGATGCGGCGTTGATGGTCGAACGCTGATACGAGAGGCATGTCTTGGTAGTGATTAAGTGGCATGAGTAGAATACGACATTGGAGAAGAACCTACACAGATGTGATCGGGTATGTCGAGTATAAGAATGCCGTCTCACTCCGCTCAGCATTACGCGACCGCATCACGTAAAGCAATACAGTAAACCAACACCCACTTCAATTGACCATCTACTCATCAAACTTGCATCACCCAAATCGCTTAACCTCATCATGAAGACATTCACCATCGCTATGATCTCTTCCCTCCTCGGCCTCACCGCCGCTCTCTCCCCACCCTACGAACCCCCCTGCGATACATGCGTCCCAACCCCCGACAAGAACAAATGCGACATCACCACCTCCTGCACCTACGTCTGGGGCCACGATAACCCCCATACACCCGGTCCGGATTATTGTGCCTGCCGCCATGGGTATCGTACGTCTCTTCCCAACCCCCACCACCGACTTTGCAGCCGCTATCCGCCACACCTCCGGTGATGACACCTACTAACACACCCAACAGGTGCGACAGGCTACGAAGCCAACGACTTGGAGGTGCAATGGCGACTACCATGGTACGGTACTCCAAATGGCGACCCGAGCCAGGAGGGTAGGGTGTTTGTGAAGCCGGGGGTGGAGTGTAATACGCTTTGCGATGATTGGTATCTTGGGAAGGATGGATGTAAGGCTGTGCAGGTGAAGAAGTGGTGTATGTAAGGATGAGAGAGAGAGATGGGTCAGTGGCCTTTGGGTTGGCACCGAAGTCGATATGACAAAGGTAGTATCGCAAATCTCGTGCGACTCCGTTCTCAAGAAGAGATGCTCAGTGTGTTTTTTTAGCAAGACGAATACCATGTGCGCTTCGGCGAAAGAACGGATAGGTGCATAGGCGTATCGATTAACACTCTTTATCCACAAACCTTACGCGCGGGTTTTGCATGGCTTCTCAAGTTTGATCTGTCGCTTCTACACTGCCATCTTACATCGATTTCAACCACATATCTCTTGCTTCATCCGCATCCCGCTCCCGCTTGCGTTGCTCTTCCTTCTGAGCAAGGATAAGGCTCTCGAGCTTGGCAAGCTTATCCTCGTCGCCCCTTATCTTTGCCTCAAGAGCTTCCTGTGCAGCCTTCTTAGCCGCCTCTTTAATTGCCTTCTCTTTCGCTATCTTGCGTTCTTGTTGATCGATAAGAAGTTGCTCTAGACGGTCGAACTTTGCTGACTCGGCTTCCCTCCTGCTCTCCTCTGCCATTTGCTTCTCAGCTTTCTCCTTCTCCATCTTGGCCTCTTGTTGAGAAATGAGGAGACTCTCGAGACGGTCGAGCATGCCCAATTCGGTTTTCCTCCTTGCCTTGCCCTCTTCTGTCTTAGCTTCATTCTGAACACCAAGAAGCTTCCTCTTGGACACAATTCGCACTCACTTGAAGCTTGCAATGTCCTCTTCTCCGTGCTCTGCATCAACGTATGAGCCCTGTTCCTGGTCTGCAGTGAAGACGGCTTTGAGTGGAAATATTGGCCCGTTGTTGGGCCGATTTCGTGACGAGGATGTGGCTTGCAGCGGAAGTTCATCATCTTGAACCGTGGTTATCCTGCGGAACCGAATCTGACATTTCATGCATTCTATCTCAGCATCGCTGGAATAGTTCGATTGGGTATGGCATCCTGGGCAGGTGGTGCTATTGCTGTCGCTACCAGCATCTTGATTGAAGATGAAACTCATGTCAATTCGCTGACCGGGTCTAAAAGCTACGTGCCACGGACGCGACAATTCGATCTCTCTTCCCGTACCGCTGGCTTGCAAGGCGTACTGCCGCCTTCTCATCTTGCTCTGGCCTGGCATGTCCTGGAAACGCAGCTCAAGTGCGGAATGGAAAGCATCCCAAGAGGTAATCCATTGCAAAGAGAAAGGTGCGACACGGCCAATGGGGTCTTCCAGCGTTATCAATTCTTCCGAAATGCCTCGCTCCAGGTACCTGGGGAGGGTTTCTTGCAAGCGGGTGATGGCATCGTAGATCGCAAAGTTGATCACCATCACACTTTGCATCTTGCCTTTGATCTCGGAGCCCAACTGACGAATCCAATCGAACTTGAGTGCTTCCGAAACCTTGGTTAACATGGAATTCCCAGCCTCGATGTTCATGTTGGCAGTTCTCATGCCATCTTTGATGTCATTAAGCGCCGCGTTTTGTGAAGTAATGGTAATATCGTCTTTTAGCCGAGCCCCATCGAGCTTGTCGTTCATTTCTTTTCGATTAACGCTTAGGAGTGCACTGTACGGTATCAGTATGGAGATATTTGACAAGTGAATCATGGCGCTCACAAATTCGCTATCGCTAACAACGTCTGGAGCGATGAAGTAGCCCTTATCACCTCCGCATAAAACTCTACTAGAGCCTCCTTTTCCCCAGTTCGCCAGCGAACTGCCATGGTCACTTCTTTGAGCTTGTTTGTACCATGGTTCTTGTCGAAGGCAGACTGGTATCTTCCAATTCGTGCTAGAAAGGCATCACCTAGATCATGACATCTCGCAACAGCTTGCTTTGACGTTTCGCAAAGAGTGCGCAACTCTGGTGTGATAAGTCCCGGTTGGATGACATATGTATTCACTGTGTCGATGACATCGTTCAGATTGTTGATAGCCTGGACAACATCGCGGTATTCAGCTTTGGACCCACGAGCCTCGTCGAGCGTCGCGATGAGATCTTTCGCCAACAAAGCAACCGAAATGATGTCGCCGACGGCACCGAACGTGATCGACATGGTGAGACGAAAAGGAGATGTTAGGGAACACCGGGTGTTGACAACGAAGGGGATATTTCTTATTCTGAAGCTGCGCCTGACCCCGCTTGAGTGAAGTCGCACAAGATGGCTGAGTCGCTAAGCCTCCACGAGGTCCAGCCAGTAACATGTCACACATACCACGCCACTTCATATCGCGACTGCCTGCCGATGCGGCACAGTTGCCAAGACCGCATCCTTCTAGTTCGACCTCACCTCACTCTGAGACGAATAACCACTCTCAGAGTCCGACTTCTTCTCATCTGTACGCACCCTGAAGCGATCGGTCTTCTCATCAGCCCAGTGCGGGCGCGTATCGAACGCGAACTGCAGAATCTCTGGACGCTGGTAGTGGCCTGCCGCATCGATCCACACCTTTACCGATCCCATGTGCGAGAAGTCAATCTCGCCCTGCACCAACTTCTCCTCTCCACCCGTGTGCGGACCAGCGATGTACGAGCAGAACGGATGGAGGACAGAAGACCAGCCGCCGCCAGCCTTTACGAGGTCTTGCTTTCCGAGGTTCTCTTCCATCCAGTCGAGGCATTGTTGGTCGACGTAATTGGAAGCAGTGATGACGAAGACTTGGGCAGTGAGGGCATGGGCCTTCATCAACGCCTCGATCTGCGCATCGGCAACGGCTTCGAAGCCGGCCATGGTGGACAATGCCGGCCAAGCACCCGCATGAATGTGCTGGTTCTGTGTGATGAGGGCCTGGCGCGCGCCGTTCATGGTATGCTCCCAACACGCGAGACCTCCGAGGTTGTACCCGAGCGACAATGGCCAGTTGCGCAATGTACTTCCGTTGCCCTGAGCCCACACCATACGCTCGACATAGGTTGGCTGGAGCTTCCGATGAACACCGAGTATAGTGCCGTCGCTATCGATAATAACTTGCGAATTAAATAGTGTATGGCCGTTGGCGACACGTTCGCACACGCCCAGATTGATGGCTACACCGGTCCTGCGACAGGCATCCTGGATGGCACTCACATCCTCCCCATTCGGCTCCACCACAACGCTCTCTTCGGCGTATTTGGCCAAAGCAGCGACCTGCTTTAGGGGTGGGTAACATTCGATCCAGTACTGTGGTAATATTAGCCTGAGCCCCAGCATACAAAGTTTGAGATAACAGCCGATGCACATACAGGATAGCCAGGAATGAAGGTCTCGGGGAACACCAAGAGCTTGACATCATCTTTGGCAGCTTGTTCGATGAGGCGGATAGTCTTCTTGATGGTGGCAGCTTTGTCCATGAAGACGGGCGCAGCGTGGGCGGCAGCCACCTTGAACTTGGTTTCCTTGGGTGCCATCTTGTCGCAGTGCGATAATCGGGGTTCCTACTCGATGAATTGAGTCAAGACTGACAGGCTGGTGAAACTGCGGAGAAGAGAGCTGTCGTGGACCCAGATTTCTTTGTTAAGGTTGCTTGCTACCTGCCAAGATCGCCGCTTCCGGTCGGTCACCGTACAACGGCGGCCGCTGCGGCACGTCGTTATCTCCCGCGTCGTGGAAAGGTCCGATTGCCCAACTGCCAGCCCTTCCCGGATTGCCAAACAATGCAACTGCACACGAAGATCGTTTGTCATCGGGCTAGTGCGCATCAGGTACCCGGCTCGTCACACCACGCGTTCTCGCAGCCAGGTGAGCCTATACAGATATGGCTAGCGTCGACTCCATTTCGCACCGAAACCGGCACTCTCCCCGAAAACACTGGCATTCACTCGTTGCACAATCGGTGCGATTACGCGGGAAACTCATCCGACTGGACATGTGATTGCACGGCCTTATGGGTTCACTGCAATAAATGCATGTCGTGACACAGAAAACCGCCGAGTGAATGGGGGTGCAAAACCCAAAAGCCTGCACGGCGATAATACAACTTGACCCTCTGCGTCAAATAATGTTGTACCATTCTCTGACACTTCGCAAACCAAACTGCGTGATTCCGACGACAACCGGCTTTTGACATGGCGTTTGATTATTTTGCAAATCCTCCTCCGGGTCTCGACTTGAACGAATCCCGCACTGCTTCTAACAATGCTATCGGCGTTGTACTTTTCGTCCTTTCTCTCGTTTTCGTGGGCTTACGCCTCTACACTCGCTTGCACGTAAAGCGTGAGCCACTGGGTCTAGATGATTACCTCATGTTTCTCGGTCTGGCGCTGAATGCGGGCAACCTAGCGTGCTGCATTGCAGGTAAAGCAGTCGATCCCGCAAGACTAATCACGGATGCTAACGTCCAGACTAGGCGGCTTCTACGGCCTTGGAAAGCACATATGGTCTTTGGGACCGTATGAGATGCGACAGATTACGATAGTGAGTTGTAACATCCAGAACCCCACAAGTATCGCAGTGCTGACCACAGTAAGATCACCTTCGCATATGTCTTCATCTACGCATGGAGTGTGTGCATCATCAAGTTCTCGATTCTGGCGCTATACCGCCGCATATTTGGCCTCTCGTACTTTGGCTATTTCTGCATCGCTCTCACTACAGGCTATCTTATCACCAACCACATCGTCCTGCCGCTCTACACGCGGCCACTGCACTATTATTGGAACCAGTGGTACGGAGATAAAGGCGTGGTCCAGGTAGACGAGGCAAAGGTGAGAATACTCCAAGACCGAGCTGCAACACCGACTGACCAAGTTGTAGTTCTATCTCGGTGTCGGCATCATCAACCTTTTCGGCGATGTGTGCATCCTTACGATACCCATAGCGAGCGTGCTTAAGCTCCACATGGGACGTACCCAGAAGGTGGCAGTCTGTCTCACGTTCCTACTTGGTAGCTTGTACGTCGCATTCCTACGTCAGTCCCTACGAAAAGGTTTCGCTAATAAGTACAGCGTCTGTTTTGCTTCGCTCTACCGCATCATCACCATTACCCACCTCGTCCAGTCGAAAGACATCAGTTGGGCAAAGAGCGACGTCTTCATCTGGTCCTCCGTAGAACCCTCCATCGGCATCATCTCCGGATGCTTACCCACCCTGCGACCGCTCATGATGAAAGTGATCAACGCACTCTCGACCCGCCTGCCATCCTCCTTCAAGTCATCGCAGCATTCCGAATCATCCGGCCCCTCGCTAAACCCTCTCGAAACGATATCCAAGAAGCGCACGCGCAAGATCAACCTTAAGGATACGTTGGGAGACACGATTAACAATGACACTCGGAGCCAGTGGGGCAAATCGCGATTGGATGAAGACGAAATGTGTCTCACGACAACGACTGTGCATGGAGAGTGCCCGGGTACTGCCCTATGCAAAGAAGGCAGTGTGACCACGAGCGAGCTCTCGCAGAGTATGAGGAGAGAAAGAGGAATTACTATGACGAAAGAATTTGCATGGGATGAGGGAACGCATGACCAAAGCCCAGACAACAAGGTCTAGACAAGTAGTAAAGCGGCCGCGCATTTCCCTTGGCTTTTGATCGTATCCGCACCAGGCAACAAACAGGACTAGGACCAATGTGAATTCTCCGCCAGCGCGCACCTTTAGGTAGTCTTGGACAAGCGGATCGACGCAATACCTCTTACGAAGCCTTCGTACCATTCCACCATCGGCAACATCTGATACCGTCCGAAGTATGTTGCGTACGAGAATGCGACGCGTTGCGGCCTCTGTAAAGTCGCTAACACGACCAAAGGGTTGGGTAGCGACCATGGCGGCAGCCTGTACTAGATCACGCGTACAGCCGACCTATCGCACGCGCTAGAGTGTCTGGCGAACTCGGGATAGGTGGTGAGAGATGGAAACGGCTTGGTAAGGAACGCGACGAATGCGACGGGACGGGACGCGTAGCTGCACGGGAAATATACTAGCGGGGCCGATCTATGAGCAAGCGCGACTGGGTAACACCCTGACAGCTCAGGTAATGCATCCACCACCTTACTTTTGATCTGGATATCCAGGGACCGTGACGTGAATTATGATAGGTGACTTCGTCCAGTCTTCGACATTCGTGCCTGCAGCCATAGTTCTGTCTCATGGCCGAATGTGGTATAGCGTTTTTGCACTCTCGTCGATCATCCCGGCATTTTTGCACGTTGCGGCCACACATCTTCCCGGCGGAGATAGTTTTCGCAGCAGCACCACCACCTTGAAGAAGCGCCACAACGAGCCTATCTTTTCGTCCGATTGCCGATTGGAAGGCAGACGACGATATGCCATGTATATAAGAGCTGCTGTAGATGTGCAGAAAATGAGAAGTCAACATCAACACGCCTCTTGGCTAAAGCGTCAACATGCAAGGCTTCAAAGACTTCGACCCTGCAAAGGACATTCGAGACCTTTCCGGAAAAGTGATCTTGGTGACTGGAGGTGAGTGTACTTGTTGCCCGTCGTTGACGTTCTTCTGACAGTCATATTAGGCACCGCAGGATTGGGAGAAGAAAGTGTGCGAGCACTGGCGGCGCACAGTCCATTGCACATCTACTTCACAGGCCGCAATGTCGCTGCAGCGAATGCACTGATCGCCGACATCAAAGCCAAGCACCCGAGGACATCTTTGAGCTTCATCAAGATGGATCTTTCGTCCCTTCGCGCAGTCAAAGAGGCCGTCGCTCGAGACTTCAAACATGACCGCCTCGATATACTGATGAACAACGCCGGTATCATTGCCAAACCGGCAGTTTTGAGTACTGATGGTTACGAGATCCAATTCGCGACGAACCACCTCGGCCATGCGATGCTCACCAGAGAGCTGATGCCCATCTTGCTCAAGACGGCCAAAGAGCCCGGTGCAGACGTCCGTGTCGTCAGCAACACCTCCGCCGGTTACGAGTTCCATCGCGCCATCAAAGGTGGTATCTCCTTCGATGAGCTTGACGCTGGAAGCACGATGTCTCGAATGATGCTAGGCGCATGAATTCGTTACGGCCAGTCCAAACTCGCAAACATCCTCTTCGCAGCGGAGCTCGCGCGTCGGCATCCTGAGCTGACGTCTGTAGCCATCCACCCTGGACTTGTCAAGACGCCCATGAATACCGAGATGGCCGGCTGGAGTAAGACATTTGTCCATGTAACGTCGCGGATGTTGGGCGAGAAGTGGCTTGAGCCACATGAGGGCGTTTTGAATCAGCTTTGGTGTGCGGCCGGAGCGGAGAAAGAAGCGTTGCGGAATGGAGGATACTACACGCCTGGGGGCGTAGACTCGACGGAGAAACTGACGGTGGAGGCTAAAGACCAAGCTCTGGCGGGAGGTTTGTGGGAGTGGACGGAGAAATTGCTCCTGAAATATTGTCGTGATTGAGTGCGTCAGTAGCGCTCTGGACGTGCGGATCATGGATCCCTTCCCAGCGCCTTTCTAGTTCAGCCCTCTTGTCCCCATCGACAATAATGACCTTCTTGTCAAAGCCTCCAGCCCACGGTTTGAAGCCCACGCGGTTCAGTTCCGACACGGTTATCTCTACTGATAGTAAGAAAAAGGCCATTCGATAGGCTAGTAGTCTCAGGGCTAGGCTCTCGTTGTTCATGATATCTTCTTTGCTCATCACAGGACGCATGTCCCGCTGTATGAATCTTCCTTGCCACCCAAAACAGTCCAACTGCACAGTACTGACATGCGGGGCTCGCTCAGGTGAAGTGGGTATAAGGAGGTTCAACCCAAGTTTCCTAATTTGGTGACCAGGGCAACAGATATCCGCTATGTATTCGACGAGACCAGTAAAGCTAGCTTTATTGAGAAGAATGTTGTGAAGCCGCTTCAAATAGAGAGCCGGCTTATCTCTGGTTTCGCGCACGTTTATGCCAATGAAAGCGATCGACTCCTTGCTTCGAGCTGGACAGCAGGTCCATGTGGGCCAGAGCTCTTTGTCGTTGACCATCATGACGTCAAGAAAGTACGCCGTCGGGCGGCGGAGACAGGTTTTGGTCTCGTGGTGCAGTTGTCTGTTCGTGAGGAGCAGTCCATAAGTAGCGTATTGCTCGGCAGATGGCAAGAGGGGTATTCGCAGGCAGTTCGAGCCCACTGAGGCCTTGCGAGGGGTGTCATCCGATGCAGGGTGTCTTGGAGGCTCGACGTGCGCACTGATGACAAATTCGAGGATTATGTCGCGAAGTTCGCGCGGTAATGATAAAAGATGGCTAGACATGATGAGATGGACTGCGTGGAGGATGGGTATGGAGGCAGAAGAGCCGGCCCCGGGGAGCATGCGCAGGGACCTGAGCTAAGCGGAGACGCTAAGCTACATCGATACAAGCCTCGGTAAGACCCCCGCAGGGCTGTTGTTCGCAGTTGCCCGTCTCTACTCACTCACTTTCGCTGCACAACACAGGAAGTTATCAGCACCTTCCGCTTGACATTGCTGCCTGGAAGCTTGTAGAAAAATGACGTCGTCAACGGAAAATTCGTTCATCACGCCCGTCGAGGCCGTCGAGTTGATGTCTTTCACTCTCATCTTCCACCTCGACGCTTCTCACCAATTTGTGTGATCCTGTCTCAGGTATTGCTCTGTTCAAAGGGTTCCGTGTACTTACAGCTCTGCGGTAGCCGACAGCCGACAGTCGCGACTGCACGCTCACCCCTAGCGACCAGCTGCCGCCGTGACCTGACAGCGTACGCCATCATGTCTCGTCTGGAAGTGCTGCCGCAGCACATCCTTCGCGACATCCTCCGCTACCTGCTACTCTCTGATCGCGTTCGTGGGCCGCCCAACCGCTATCTCGTCGAAGACTATGACTTCCAGGTCGCTGTCCTTCGCACTAACAAGGCTATCAATCAGGAAGCTACCAACATCTTCTACGAGGACAACAAGTGGATCAAACTTCGCAATGGCTATGGTACGATGATTGAAACCGCCCTGGTCAATCACGAAACACCTTACTTCAAGTTGAAGATGGATGAGTTCGACAAGCATGTTGCTGAAGTCAATGTCAATCCCAGCTTCCACCAGAAGTCGAGGTATGGTGGCAAGACGACAGTGGGATTGTTGCTCTTGCAAGACATGGCCAAGTTTGCTCGCGTTCTACGAATCCTGGACTTCGCCAACTTCATGGCTTATGACTTCAAGTTCGCACTACACAAGCCGCCCGGTACCGTCAGCACTCTGAGCAGGGAGGATCAAGAGAGGTTGATCTTACCTATGGAGAAAGGTGAGTTCTGCCATGGCGAGTTGCATATGAGACGTTTGCTAATCTAATCCACCGCTATCACAGTCAGCGGTGTAGCTTGCCGACAGCAGGTCGCCTTCACCACCTCGTTTGATGCTGTCCTTGTTGAACGCGTCAAGCAGGCAATGACTCAGGGAGTTGCATGGCTACGAGCTGCTGTCGCTGAAGTCTACGATATCGCTCTCTCCATCAAATGCATGGGTGACATGGCATTCAACATAGGCAATGGAGACATGGCATTCGCGAAGTGGGACGACACACTCAAGTTCATCGACATTACACTGGAGCACAACAACATGATGAGTACACGCCTGGAACCCGATTCCCTAGCTCAACTTCGTGCACTCGAATGCATGGTCTGCCTTGAACTAGCGATGTTCTTCTTCTCGGACATGGCCATTGACGGAATCGGCCGGAAGTACGAGCATGTACCGAAGAAGGTGGGTTATGCTGAGGACGCCAAATTGTACAACGAGCTCTTGGGGTTTGAGGCAGTTCCAGTGTCTGCTATCGCTCGCTTCTACCGCTTCTTGGGTGTCGCTGAACTGGGTCTGGATCATCCCGTCAAAGCAGCAAAGGCATTTGCTAAGTCCTACAAGATGGCGACTCTCCCCCCAACCCAGAACGGCTACAACACTGCGAGATCATGGAAAGAGCTCACAAAGGCTCAGCGCAAGTCTAGGCTAGACGCTCTTCACACTGCCCTTCCCAAGACGCCCCATACGATGCCAGCATTCCAAGCCTGGAAGGGTCCTGAAGTCCAATCAGAACATTGGGTCATGCGCGAGCTTGGCTTCAAGGGCCATATACCTTACGCGGACAAGATTACTGGCATATTTGGAATATACTTGACCACCAAAGCTCACCCCAATCTTTCACTTCCAGGACCACATACGACCCAGCTCGGGGCCGTGAAGCCTGAAGTGCTGATGAAGGTTGTCGAGAGGCATCGCAAGGAAGTGAACCAGCCAACTATACCGGGCATTGAGCTACTGATGATGTGGATAGCTCTTGGACCGAACGATATCGGTGAGGAGAGTATCCATGATGATCGAGACACTGCGAAGATGCTGGAGAAGATGTCTCTTCGTGGCCCTGGAGGTTGTCCAACTCAGTGAATGATGGTTCAGTCATGTGTGTGGCTCTATGTACGTGTTCAGTCAAGGTGAAGGGGTTCTGAGATACTGTGGTGAAAGAGGCTGTTATATTCGGCGCATGAGCTATTCTGTCTATGGACACACTCTTCTTCACTTCCACTATAGCATAACCTTATTGTCTAGATATCTCAATGACATCTTCAAATCTGACCAACACCGTCCTACCTCTCCAAACCACTTCCCTACTACCATTATCACTACTGCTATCATGACATCTGCATCCTTGAAGCGTGGAGCAGACAATGAGCTAGCCTCATCACCATCAGCCAAGCGATCGCGCAGCGAGAAGCCGACATCACCTCCGGCGTCCGCACCACGAAAGCGGTCGCCAAGGCGAAGGACTCCCCGCCCAGCTATTCGCCAACCCTCTACCTCCCCAGCGTCCCAGGTCTCCGCCTCGCTGGACGAGGCAACCACCACCTCAGAGACAGACCCCCTCCTCCACCGCATACAATCCGGTATCACCTACACCCTCTCCACCACTACCCCAGCGCAAACAACACGCTTCACCATCCCAACCACCACCAGCAAGCCCACTACGCTCGCCGCCCTGAATCTCCTCCGCACCCACGCCACACTCATAGCTTCATCACCCCTCTTCGAGATCTACGAATTGGGCATCCCGCGACCGGATTGGGTGAAGCAAGGGGGGTGGCTCGGCATTCATGATCCGCAGTGGTGGGTGGGGAGGAGTGTTGCGGAGGTGAAAGCGGGGCCTTGGGCGGATGAGCTTGAGGTTAGGAGGGTTGAGGGGAGGATGAGGGGGGTGGAGAAGGGGAGGGTGAAGAGAGCGGAGAAGGGGATGGGGAAGGGGGAGAGGGAGAGAGATGGGAAGTTGAGGGAGGGGTTAAGGAGGCAGAGGGAGGGGGTGGGTATGTGTGATTAGGGATAGGGAAAATATTGATGCAGGATGACGTATGAAAAGATGGGTCGAAAAGCATCTCAAAATTGAAGTTCAAGGATTACCACATGAGACAACACCATTTCAACGTTAAGAGCTATTGAAGGCATCACATGTAAGAAGAGCGTTGGTTGTTCAAGATTAAGAAGTAGTTTATGCTATAGTATAAACTACAGAGGTATCATTCTCCAGCCGGGCATCTATCCATTCCGTGTCTTTAGTAATATGCTATACTGTACTGCATAGCTAGAACCAAACATTACATCATTCAAAGTGACTCATTCGTGTCATCAAGACGTGAATAAAACACTACACCATTAACCATCTAGTGGACGGAAGCAGTGCGGTGGTTCTTCTCAGTGTCAACGACAATGGAACCGTTGCGCTCGATCATAGTAGAGCCGCCCTTCTGGAGGGAGCTCTCGACGAAGGTGTGGGTAGGGCGCCACTTGGCAGAGGTCCTGGGAGTGGTCTCGGCCATCATCTGGTCGACCTGCTCGAGAGACAGACCCTTGGTCTCAGGAACCAAGAAGTAGGTGTAGATGAAGGCGATGGTGCAGAGACCTCCCCAGATGAAGAAGACGGAGGACTTGAGGTTACCCTGGTCGGTACCAACCATGTAGGGGGTGATAACGGCGATGATGGTGTTCCAGAGCCAGTTGGAGGCGGTGGAGAGGGCAACACCACGCGAGCGGATGG